TTTTCTTGGGCTGATGTTTTCGGTCTTGGCGATTGAGCGAACCGGTGCACCGGGTTCACTGACGAGCCCATGCCTGGGCAATTATTGGCAATTGCGTCTTCCCTGTGCCGACAGTTTGGACACGCCTACGTAACACCCTCACGACTTAGCCGCTGCAGCCAATGGTGGCTCTAGTCTGTGGAGATCATGAGTTTCACAGCAGCACCTGGCAAAGCATCCACCTCGGCTTATTGAGCATCACCAAGCTTCCGACAACGTTAATCGCTTCCAGGGCTCTCATCCTCGGAGATGCTCAGGCTCTAGGTAGGAAGAAAGAGAGGGGAAAGCAGAGAAAGGCCCGCAAGGCGTGCTCAGAGAAATCCGGAGTATTCCTCCGAGTCCATCGCTCGAGTCACGGATAAGTGGGTTCGTATCAATTTCGCATCCGTATCCCTGTCTCTCTAGAGCTACCTCGCCAACACAAACCTGCAGGAGTCGTCTAAGCGATCCAAATATTTTGGAACCCAGAAGACAGAACCATTTCCGAAATACGCCTCAGTGTTGCACGAGAATCTCGCGACTAAGTTGCTCCTGCTTAATTCACTTGAGATGTCGTCCAAATCCCGAATTCCTGTTCACGTCCTATCGGCTGCAAGGGCCCAACAAAAGTATGATCGACAGTCAAGCAACGGCATGACACGTGTCGCAGCCAGTGAACGGTGATGAGATGAAATGAGTTTTGCCGCTGTCAGTTATTCTGCCAACGAATACCATTATCTCGGGCCTGCGGTAATCCGTGACCATCCAATAAGTCGAATGAATTAAGCCTAATTACCTTATGATATACCAGAACATACCATTTGTCATTTCTGTACAGAGTATACGGCAAGCTTTTCGCTGTACGTGATATTGGACGAAGCCTGGCATTCGACGCTAACGTAACGGTAGCACCATTTCAACTCTAAGCGCGGGAACACTTACTAGTTTGAAAATGTTCTGCATGTGGTTAAATGATTGCGAACTTCTAGTATTCCAAACCCTGTCGATGTTTCAATCACCTGCACCGTGATTTATCAGCCAAGGCTTCGGTGCACATAGAGGATCAAGCTTGCGTACTTCACGTGGGCGGCCCGTGTCCGGTGGGATACGCTGTCCCGAAAGCGAAGTAGTGGCCATAATAGGTAATTGGTGTTTTGTCACAACCAGGTGATCATAGCTGGAGCCGAAAAAGGCCCGTACATACGGATTTCAAGAAGCTTAAACCACTGCCGGAGCCGCTTTCCCACTCCACGGGCTTCATAAGCCACTGAAAGCCACCGACGGGGAACTAGTTCGGGGTTTTCTAGCTCACCTTATTGTTCATATTCTATTGTCAATATCGGAAGCTTTGTAGGCGATCTCGATCGCTCACTTTATGTTTGTATTCGGCGGTTTCGAACAGCTAGGGTATCCGTTGCTCTCCTCCTGTCTAAGTGCTAAGTGATGGTTCACTTTGTAAGTCTGGGTTAAACTAGTTTCAACAATTTCATTAATATTATCATTAGCTTCTCAAGTTCAGCCACAATACCTAACGGGCTTTACCACACTAGTTTCGATGGCTCTATTGGAAGGTGCCAACGCTGATTGCTGTAACCAAGAGCCAGTGCTACACTTGCAGCGGGTGATCACAAATCTAATAAGGATGACGGGCGGATACATTGCCGCAAAGTTGCCATAACTTATTAGACTTTGTCAATAGCGAGTAATTCGAGCGGGGCAGAGGCGAGTTTTGCCTTCCTCGCCCTATGCCTTGACAACCGTCTTAGCCGGCAACGGTATTGTGCCATTGGTCAGCTATGTCGGAGTAAAAGTGGAACCCGCAGGTCGTCAAACTCACCCGAGTCAGCGAACCGCGAAAACCGGCAAGTGGAGACAAGAAGAACAGCCCGGGACCGAAGACGCTTTCCCCGGCCACCGGCGATTCAATAGTTGAGGTGGAGAACACGATAAGCCCCCCCGCCAAATTTTGCAACCCACGGAGACATTTTGGAGTCCGCGGGCAAGGGTCGCGGGGATCTGTCGCATCCTTCGAGAAAACACCATTGCCAACCTAACCACCCGCGAGGGGGTTCTATCATTCTTCTTTCGTGAAAAGGCTCTTTGTCTGTCAAGGTTTCCCCAGTCGCTGTCACAATGCCGGCGGCAAAAATGGCGGCATTGTTCCCTGTCCCTCTCTATGTGAGAGCAAGCATTGTCGCATCATGCGTTGCCATGCTGTTTGGGTATGTCCAACAAAGCTCCTGCGCCCGTCGGCGCGGGGGTCTGTCTCTTCTACTTTGCTTCACTCTACTCTACATACACCTTGCCATGCTCTTCATAGTAGTAGCTCGCTTTCGTCTTTTGTCATAGTGTTTAGGCCCAGATCCCGGACGAACCACCCCCCTAGCTGACATGCATGCTGATCAATCTATCAAGCCTCGATACAGGAAGCATTGGCCCCGTTACGACCATGCCGTCCTTCCGTCACACCTTTGGCGACTTCTCCCCCACAATGCACGGCGTAATCGTCTCGTCCGTCCTCATCCCTGGCGCCCTGTCAGCTCTGGTATCCGGCGCCATGGCAGACCGTTTTGGGCACGTCCTCCTCTTCTCTCTGGGCGCCTTCGTCTACGGCTGCGGCGCTGGGATCGAGTGCGCTTCGCCTGTCCTAGGTGTCTTCATCTTGGGTCGTCTCATCAAAGGCGTCGGCGAGGGCATGTTTCTAAGCAACGTTTACGTTCAAGTGTCGGAAATCTCGCCTGCCCGGGTCCGGGGTATCATCACTGCTCTGCCGCAGTTTTCCATCGTCACTGGTATTGTCATCGGCTACTTTATGTGTTATGCCACCGCCCGTATCGAGATATCATCCCTGGCATGGCGCCTGCCGCTGGCTGTAGCTTCATTCCTGGGATTTGCTCTTTCGAGCACGTACTGGATCGTCCCACCGTCACCCAGATGGCTTCTCGGAAAAGGACGAGTTGAAGAAGCCCGAGGCGTGCTGGACCGTCTTGGCCTGGACCAAAGTGAGCGTGAGGAACTGCTGGAGCAATCCCTGGCCCAGGCACAAGAGCAGAAACCCGACGTTACACTCCTGGAAACCTTACGACAACTGTTCACCGACTTCAAGGAAGCCTTTTCTGCACCCTTTCGGAGCAGGACCATCTTTGGCTGTTTCTTGCTGGGAATGCAACAGTGGAGCGGTATTGATGGTATTCTCTACTATGCACCCATTCTTTTCACACAAGCTGGACTGAGCGGTGAAGAGGCCACATTTCTCGCATCCGGCGTCTCAGCTCTGGTGATCCTGGCAGCCACTATACCGGCAACATTCTTAGCAGACAGATGGGGACGCCGGACATCAAGTCTGCTCGGTGGCATTCTCATCACCGCTTTGATGCTACTAATGGGCTCGCTATTTGCAGCTGGTGAGGTTCACGCCGAGACGGGTGCCGGAAAGTGGGTGGTCATCGTATCCATCTACCTCTTCGCCATCGTATACAGCGTCACTTGGGCCATTGGCTTTCGCACCTTTATGGTGGAAAGCTTACCGTCCAGGACTCGCAGTAGTGCCTCCAGCCTTGCACAAAGCTCGAACTGGGTATGTTTGTAGTTCGGTGACACTTTCCCTTCGTACCTTAGTCCATGTAATCCCGGGTTATACTGACATGCAATATTACAGCTTGCAAACTATGTCGTTGCGCTAATTACTCCGGTATTCCTGTCAAAGTCAACCTTTGGAGCATACTTTCTCTTCGCCGGATGCTCGTTTGTTTGCACAGTCGTGGTAGCTCTTGTGATGGTCGAGACCCGAGGGCACAGCCTTGAGGCTATCGAGAAGAGATACACCGAGGAAAAAGCCTTGGCTACCGGCAGATGGAAAATGGAAGGTCTCAGGCCAAGACGTGTCAGAACCGCGGTGTAATATTTTGCGGCTCACCAGGCACATTTTGTCAGACTTTCTATCAAAGATCGTCGGGATGATGATGCGCCAAGGGCACTTTTACGGCGGCGTCAGGTACTAGAGTTGATCATGTCCTGATACTTGGAAAGGAATGACATGGATGGCTTGACGTATGTAGATGGATCATGGATATGATACTAGACCCATGATGTGAGGCTGGAATGACTCTACTAGACACAGACGGGCTGAGATAGACATAAACTCGGATAGATACAGACTGGGATAGACACAAACTAGAATAGACACCATACAGCATAGAAATGATCGGAGTCTTAGGCACGTTATTCAGACATCCATTGTATGCATATAGATGGAATAACATAGACCGACTACGTGGAGTCACACTCTCTACCCCGATATCTGTGCATCCGTCCAAGACGGATCGGCACCTGCGAGAAAAGGCTTGTTACTTTCCTTTGGCCTTGGCATTTGTCACCGTCTTATAGAATGAATCTGTGGTGCCGGCTATCCGGAGAGATATGACGCGTCAGTACAAGCTAACAACGGTCGGGGAAGTAAAATTCATTAGGCTACTGTAAGATCCAATTTTATACACGCAGTTGGGCCAGCAGCACGTAAAGACATTGACTGAATGTCCTACCACCTTGTGGTGCCACCTCTATGGGTATTACTGAACAATCACAACTTAGGTCTTACTTTCTATCAACTCTGAGGTACTTCTCCAAGTGCCCGGCGGACGACTTCCTATTTGACCATTCGTAAATTCCATTGGCGAGTACCGTTTTAACCTTTTGGCTAGTTCTATCCAGCACACCCTAGGGACCTAAACCCGGTTTCATTTCGGCGATGGCGAGCAGATCATTGGCAACTTTAAAAAGAGACATCACGTCAATTCAACGGATGGAAATAAGCTTGCTAGGACTGTACCACTGCTCACTCTTGTATTCCACAGGCCTAATCATACTTAATCTTTTTCCAATCATTACTTCGTTTGTCTCGTCGAAATTTACCTCATTTCCGCTTTTCGTACAATCCGGTGACCCCTAGACCGCTTCTTCGGACTCCGTCTGCATCATGCGACTCACGGGAGATGTATACTCGTAGCCGTATCCCATGTTTGTGCCATTGGCTTACTAGCCTCGAACAAGAGCATTGTCCCACAAACTTCCCACCTAACATCCTCAAAGACCTCCATCAACGGCCCCACAAAGCCCTCCACGTCGTCCTCGGTATTCCCAAATACACCCAGTAAGTTGTGCCAAAACATGAGATGCTTCCCCATCAGGTTGTGCTTCACGCCCCGTCCCAAGATCGTCATCCCGAATATCGTGCCGCCCGGCGCCAGCAGATGCCGCAAGCGCATTAAAGCCTCGGCCTTATTCGACGGCGGACCAGGCACGCAATGCAGCAGCATCATGACGGAAATCGCGTCAAAGTCTCCCCCGCCAAGGTCCTTGCAACATAGGCCCTTTCCCAGGGGGTCTAGAAAGTCGGCGACAGAGGTCTCGCAGGTCGTCTCGGGATGCGCGTCTAGCGTTCGTTCTCTAGCTGCTTCCAGGGCCGCGGGGTTGAGGTCGGCGAGGTAGACCTCGGACCCGGCTGATATGGGTGCATGCTTGAGAAAGTATCCCGTGCCGACGCCGATGTCCAGTATCCGACAGGGTGAGAAAGCGTTGGTATCTGATGTTCTGCGGAGGCTGGGCGACTGTGAACGGGCCGAGGCGCTGGAGACGTGCCTGTTGAAGAACTCCCGCATGCGTCTTGATGTGATACGCCATGCTTTCGGGCAGTAGAAGCCGAGGACGACCGGGTCATAGATGTAGCGAAGGAGTATGGGCATGTAGATTGCGGCACCGGCCGCCGTGTTCGGCTTTGCTGTTGCTGCCATGCTTGCAAACTTTTCAATATCTGAGGATTCAAGAGAGCATGGTGAGTCCGGTTGTGTTGTTGTGCTGGCGATCATCGTGGTCTAATATCTCCTGCGCCTTTCCTTGTGTGTGTGAGACAGGCCAAGGCTCTAGTTCAAGAATGGAAACTTGGCGACCCTTTTTGTGTTGAGGGCTGAAAAGAATTAGCTGCGTGGTGCTAGTCGACTTTCGTGCCTTTCGTACGTATGGGGAAAGGAAGCGGCATTATGCGGACTTCTGATTCAGTGGTTCGACTCGTCCCAAACTCCCGGGTCACCCTTGGATCATTATATCCGCCCTCGAACTCGTCAGCATGGTGACCACATGCTCTGACATATCTGACATGCATGTTTGCGGGGTGATGTGACAGGTTGTGTGGCAACGACTCATATTCAACCCAAGACGAGAAAAAGGGACAGTCGTATCTCCTGGCGCGTCTCTTTACTCCATTCGCCGGCAACTGCCCCAGTTGCGGTTGATGTCGCGAGACCAACAGACCAACCGCGGTCGGGGCGTCTCCGCGATAGCCAAGAATCAATACCCCCGAGCTGCGACGGGTGCGTCATCCGTGCTCCGGGGCCATCCGCGATGCCACAAGCTTCGCATCGGACCGCCGAGGGTTCTCGGAACCCTATGCGATTCGTCAGTTTCGAGGCGCGGGGAGCTGCAATGAAGGGAGGTTCGCAAGGGCCGAGAGATGGGATGACTTTTCGACTCGTGCCGAAACACACCGTGTATGGCTCCAGCGCTCTATCTCCGTCTGAGCATGGACTTCGGCCGTTCCATTTTCTTCCATCCCCGGGTTGTCAGCTTGGATCAGAAGCATCTTCGGACCACGCCCCGATGACATGCAGCAGGCCTAATGGCAGGTCAGTGTTCTGTTCTTTTTCAGCGTTCGGGGAGAATTTCTCTCTTGTCAGATCGGTTGAGCCGCGAGTGTAAAGGCTTGGCTTTGTGAACTAGGCCAACTATGGACTGAGAACCGAAAGACCAGGAGTTCGAGCACCTTAACTATATTTACTGAGGCTTTTCGAGATCTGTTCTTGACCTGGGAGCCAATCGGATTGACAGCAGAGAATGCGAGAGAATAAAGGACTCGTAGGTTTCCACGATCACATGAGATCGTCATAGCTCGGACGACTACATGTAGCCAACGCGCAGATCGACCCTGCGATAGCCGCGTAGCCAACGGCGCATTGGGAGCGGCAATGAATATGACGCAGATTGAGATACGGCCAGAACGGAACTCGCAGCTATCATTGCCGGGGGGGCTCGAACTCAGTCTCGCCTTCGATAAGGTACGTCGCGGTGAGAACATACAGGAAACAATGGGAGTCGCTATTAATATCTAATTCCACCGGTTCCGGAAAAGATTGATGCTTTTACTCATTTTCTCCGTGCCTTGAAAGTCTTCAGAGGATTGACTTTTCTCGTTCCCACCTTCTTGCCTTTGCCGGGCTTGCTCTTATTCCTCCTCTGCTTGCCACCAATCTTTCGGAACGGCACCATACCGATGTCATTCTTTGTGAGTGACTCCTTGCCTTCCTTCGGCAACAGGTATTCAGGAACGTGCCGCAGGTGAGGTTGCTGTCTGGCTGTTCTCAACTCTCCGTCGTGTCTGAGGTGCTGCAACTCTGTTGGGTTCTCCTCAAAGTATCTATGATTGATTAGCTGATTAGCGAGGTTCAAGTCAAATCCCGCATTGGGCATGAGAAGCCTAGGCTGAACAAACATACCTCTTCAGCTTCTCGCTCTTGAGAATCTCCTGCTTCAATTCTCTCATACGCGCCTCACGAACTGCAACCTTGGTGACTGCTCTCAGAGCGTCATCCAGACGATACCTGAATGCATCCAGATGCTCCTTCTTGAAGTTGTAAGGCTTCACCTCCTTGCCTAGCTTCGCTTGTTGCTTCTTAATCCTGGCCAGGATCTTCTCGTCGTTCTCTGCGGTTTCTATGCTCGTGGGGACGTGCTTGCGATACAACTCTTGAGGAACGTAGAATGACAGTGCCATGCCTGTCCGACCAGCGCGCGCTGTGCGGCCAATCCGATGTGTGTATGATGATGCTGATGTCGGCAGGTCGAAATTGACCACGGCTGCCACATTCTTGAAGTCGATACCCCGGGAAACGCCAAACTCAGCGTCTCGCTTCGACTTGCGCTTCTTCTTGGAGTCCTTCTCCTTCTTCGCCTCTGATCCCTCTCCTTCTTCGGCATCCCTCTCCTCGGCGCCCATTGCGCTCTTCTCGTCGGACGCAATGATGATTTCGTAGACTCCACGGTTGAACTCCTCCAGCACGTGCGCTCTCGATGTGACGGGCAACTCCGAGTTCAGAATACAGCTGCGGACCTGGAACTGCTCGAGGAACAGCTTCAGGCGATATGAACGGTCGACGTCGTTTACGAAGATGAGACATTTGCCCTTGACAAGCTTCAGCTTAAAGATGATAAATGCCAACAGGAACTTCTCATCCTCCCCACAGCTGACAACGAATTGTGACAGATTGTCGTTCTCTGTCTCCTCCTCGTCGAGATCCAAGATGGTAGGCTTGCGTCCGAAAATTCCTCCAAGAGTAGTGACATCTGTAGACAACGTCGCACTCATCAGCAAGAGCTGAACACCCTTAGGAAGCTTTCGGGCAATGTTCTCGAGATCTTCGTCGTAGCCGTATGACAGGATGAGGTCAGCCTCGTCGAGAACCAAGCACGTCAGATTATCGAGCGACATCGCATCGGAGGTGATGTTGCGCCATGCGGTAGCGGGTGTAGAGACTACGACATCGGGGAAGTTTGAAAGGAGGGAACGCTGAACCGCATCAGAGATCTTGTCGACGAGCTTGACTGCGTGGATGTCTTTTGCGCAGTATGCTGAGAAATGTTCGATCGCTTTGAGAACTTGGTCGGCAAGCTCACGGGTAGGGACGAGGATCAGGGCGGTGGTAGCAGGCGAAGAATTGGCCTAGAGTTTATGGCGGTTAGCAAGGTTCAGTTGTTCCATTGTCAAAACTGCTACGTACAGCTTTGCGCTTCAGGATGCTCGATAGCACAGGCAGAACGTATGCAGCCGTCTTTCCGGAACCTGTGGGCGCCTTCGCGGCGACATCTTTGCCATCCAAGGCCAATGGAATTGCCCTCTGTTGCACCGGGGTAGGGTCCTTGAAGCTCTCGGCAGCGACAGCCTGTACCAATCGAGTGTCGAGGCCCAGATCAGAGAAAGATAGTTCGGATGTAGAGGTTTCTGTCTTTGCGCGCTTCTCGCTCTCGGGCGCGGGCGCAGTCTCATCGGCCTTTCTCTTCATCGTGGATATTGTTGTGTTGGAAAAGTATGATGTTCAAAGGAACCTGTAGCAAAAGTCCGCGACGCAGGCAATCCTGCCCAGATCAAAAAAAAAAAATCCAGACTGCGGCGGGGTGGGTCTTTGCTTATCTTATCAGGGCGCGTTAGCGTGGAAAATGGCTTATGTAATACAGGCTTTTTTTGGTGCGGGTACGTTCCTCTAGACTTAGCTCGCACTTCAGCATCTCGGTGTTGTCACACTATTACTTACCTCTCTACTTAATCCTATTAGAACTTGTTATTCTCTTTCATCACCTACTTTTCACTCTATCTCAATAATATCGGGAGGATCTCAGTGTCTGCGGTACTCCAAGATGATAGTGTCTACGACTCCTCCTCACAACTTGGCCGCCAGTTACTTAGTGGATTGCTCTCAGTCCAAAGGAGCCCGACAAAACTTGGCGTATTACCTGCATATTTAGGACATTTAGCGGTTCAATGACCAATAGGATCCTTGTTATGCACCCATTCCAAAGTCCCACTGACTGGCATGGTGTCAGCTGTTCGTGGCCGGGATGCTGGACCACGCTCACTTCACAACTTCATGCTTCCCGTGCCTTCTGTAAGGCATCTACTTCAACGTCTCGTCGACTAAGATATTGGGAGGACTTACGCCGCAATCATGTCCCTCTGCCAGATCTGTTCAACGCTCAACATTGAGCAGCTAGATGCCACAGATGTCCGCTTTCACCCCAGCCTGAAGGCCCTCCAGCGGAGTGCCGATGCGAAATGTCTCTTCTGCAACCTATGCTATACCCGCGTCATGGATGACATTCATCATAGCGTCACGGACGCACTTCTCAATGATCAGATACCATCAGGCTACGAGGAAGAGACGTTTGTTCCGAGCATCTGGCTCCATGGCGAGGTGAGGCAAGGCAATCGCGGCGTCGGCCACCAGCTCCCGGGATGTGCCATATGGATCTCGTGCGGCAGAATGCATCCTGATGTCGGTATGGAAGAGACCAATCGCCCCGGGATGCCATTTGCCTCGCGTTTGTCTCTTTTCGCGTAAGACCTCCAAGTTCAAAGTTCTTTTAGTCCTTTATCTTGGGCCAGGACTTGGCACATTGCATGAGAACTGAACATTTGCAGAAGCCGTAAAACGCCAGCAGCCCGCAGATTCATCGAACGATACATCATTGCGGACCATGATCCTAATCTCTACATAGACCTAGCAGGTTGGCGTTTGAAAAAGTGCAAAGACTCTCACAAGCTCTGTACACCGAGGTCCTCGGAGATGCCAACTCGCGTCATTGAGGTTGGCCGCATCGGCGAAAAGCCGAGACTGATAGTCACGAGTGGCCTTAGGGAGCCATACATTGCTCTTTCCTATTGCTGGGGGCCCGGTAAAGATACGTTCACCCTAACGCATAAGACCAAAGATGAGCTTCTGGATGGCGTCACAGAAGAGAAGCTTACCCAGACTCATCGAGAATCCATTCGATTCGCACGCACGCTCGGCATTGCGTATCTCTGGATCGACGCCCTTTGCATCATACAGGGCGATGCCGATGACTGGGCTTTCGAATCGCAACGGATGGCACACGTCTATGGCAACGCGGCTTTGACCATAATTGCCGGTCGTTCAGACGACGCGCGCAACGGCTTTCTCGCAAATGGACTTGATCAAAAAGTCCCTCC